AAACAGCATTAAAGAGGAAGGCTAAAGCCTGATGATGATTATTAATAATAATGATGATATTGATGATGATGATCATCATGATCATAATGATCATCATTATTTTAGGAGTTTTATTACACCATTTTGTTGACTTTCCCCAGATGAAAAAGTTAATGGCATAACTCCAAGAAGATGGGACTCACTATCGATAGTTGCCAGAACAGCAAGTCTATCATGGTTTAATTTTTTTCCATTATTAATTTCATAAAGTGTCTTTCCGTAAAAATGTATAATATATGGAAGAAACTTGGATGCTAAGTTCAACATCTTCTTTAGCAATAATTGCCATTTCATGAGATGTTTGTTGCATCTTTTTAAAAGCTGTTGACCTTCTGCAATTTACATTTGTAAGATCAACCCCAAAACAATCAAAGATTGCAGTAGTAATTTTTGTCAAAATGTTAGGAGATATATCAGTAATTTTGGCAATTAGAGCAACGTTACCAGAAATAATATCTTTTGGGATCTCAGCTTTTATTCGACTACTTGACTCTATAGAACACTAATATCCTGGGTCAAAATCCAAATCAAAAGATGAATCATTGCTGGTGTCCATACTAAATTCCAAATCTGAACTTACTTCTACTGATTTAGCAGCATTTTTTATAGATGGATTTCTCTTTCTTGTATCCTCCAAAATCTAAACAAAGTGCATTACAAAATAAAAATTAATGAACCCAAAATCAAAACCAATAAAAAATTGGCAAGGAGTGAGCAATGAGATAAGAGTTTTTAAATTCAGAAAGAAACGGTCACAATATGGATTACTTTCTTGCTATATTGCTTATCTTTAGGCCTTAGAAGTAACTTTCTGCTGTGTTCTTGATCGTATAAAAAATCTAGGTCTATTTTTGTCCTTCTTTATCCAGTTTTGTATGTTAGCTTTTCCTGTCCAAAAGGTTTCCCCTATTTTCCCCTTTCTAAAGTCTTGTTGCTTTTTAACTCTAAAGGCGACCTCCTGTGCATGTTTTTTTTTAGTTTCAAATATTTTTTGTTCAACTTATTTTGCTTTTGCATCAAGTTTTTATCTGATCTAAAGAGGGAATCCAGCTTTTAGCCAGGGACCCTTTATTTTGCTTAGAATATACTTACAATGCAGTTCAACACACCTCTCATAATTTCTGTTTTACAGAGCATGCAAGTATAATTGACTTTTTTGATGTTTTAGAAAGCATTTACTGATTTAAAGTGTTGTGTTGTAAAATATCTATTCCAGCTGGCACATTATGTGTTGCTCAAATAGTAAATGAGGAAATAGGCTTATAAATAAAGAGGAATTCGACATATTGAACTGATTTTTTTACAAGACATCAGGTTTTTGTTTCTGTTCATCTGGACTTTAGACTAATCTGAAAAATTACATTCGTCCAGATAATTTTTTTAAAAACCGAAAGCGTGGATATTTAGAATTTTGCGAACTATATTAGAAATACGATTAATAATAAACAATGTCGTGGAATATAATAAACAAATTGGCTATGATCTGATTCTTTGCTCTTTGGTTATTTAAAAGTTACTCAACAATCTATTCTAATAGATGTTATTAATTACTTGTGACTATGAAAATAGCCATTTTTTTTAACTCAATACAGAACAGCACATCAGTATGGTTCTTCGTTTAGTTCATGGTCCTTCTTTTTTACTTCCTAGAATAGTTAATCACTTTTTAAAATTTCTTAAACTTGTTTTTAAAAACTAAACAAAAAAACTTAACTTTGGATTGTTATTATAAAAAAAAATTAAAAGATTGCCTAACTTACCAGAAAATAAATAAATAAATAAAAATTAATAAAAACTGTTACCAATATTACTAATAAAGTTATTTATTTTAAACAATTATCAGAACAACTGCCACTTTGCTTTCTTAAACAATTTTGCTGTTACTCATTTTTTATTCATTTTGTTTTTGGTTTTTTGCAATAGAGGTACATATCAGATGTCATAAACAAATAATTAGCTGTATCTCTAGTGTTTTCTGCAAAAGAGGTTAGACAAACATGACCAATTTGTGCAGTTTTGTTTTCCTTATTTCTGGCTTTAATAGCACTCTCAGACAAAGAACCTATTGGATACTTAAAATACATTATAAAAGAAGTAACATGAAGTATCATTCTATGCACAGATTGTGACAAAAGTATAGTTTTTAACATTGTATCATTAGTTATGAGCGCATATAGATGCTCAGATTTCTGTTTAAAAGTCTTTATATCTGGTATTCTTGTTGGGCTATTCATATCAATGAGCAAATCTCGAAACAACTTAATCAATCTGATATCTAAGTTTAAAATTCTCCCAGACACTATCGGATTATTAAAAAATTTGCAAGCAACATTTCCAGTATTGGTTGTGTCATTTCCTTTTCTGACAAAAGAAACCCTTATTTTCAATTGTATCTTGAATAAATGTTGGAATTTGTTTTTATTTTCAATAAATTCTATACTCTTTTGTGATGGAATATTTCTTCCTTGTTTTACTGCTGGGAGTTTACAAGCAGTATTAAAAACCCACTCCATGCAGCGTATTCATAAATGAAGACTGCAAATTCCAAGTTTCAAAACTTGCTTGCCTAAATTTTTATTTTATTTTTTTAAATAATTTTTAAATTAAACTCCTTAGAATTTGTAAGACAAACATGGCAGGACTGAGATGAAATTTTTTTCTTAAGCATATTGGATACATATTTAATAAGCATATTTTCTTAAGCATTGTTTTGCCATCATTCATTGTGGTGTAAATAGTTGACAAACTAGACTTTACTACCAAAGTATTTTCACATAGTTTAAATTCAATATTGTTTAATAAAAAAATTTCATTTTTTTATTAAACAATAAAAAATCCATCACTCTGGACTATTTGGAATAAAATTTTTCTAAATTATCATTTCTCCACTTGAATCTCTAACAATTCAAACACTATACTATACACAGAGCGATCATTCACACCTCTTTTCATAGTTGCTGAATTTTGGAACTCAGGTTGATTGCCTTAACCATCACCTCCTACTTTGCAAATAATATGTACATTATCACGCTCTTCTTGTGATAAAGTCATTATGCAGTTACTTTCATAGTCCAAAAGATATTCAAATGCTCTAGAAACACTACTCTACAAATACTCTAGAGTGCTTTATCATATGAAAAAGACTACATTTTACTGCAGTTTCAGAATATTCAATCTGTTCTAGATATGTCAATTTTTTGTATTGTTTCAATTTAGTTTAACCTGGAGGTTTAACTAAGTTGAACAATATAATTGAAACATGACGATTATGAGTCACTATACTTTTAAATTTAGTTTTTTATTTTCTATCTGTAAGTTTTTTTTTTTATTTTCTATCTGTAAGTTTTAAATTACAAAGAGCTTGCAATGATAAATTTTAACCATATAAATTAGTCCAATCATCAGTATAAAAATTCGATTTAAATCTTTTGGCATGTTGCAGTTCTTCTACCTCTCGCTCTCTAACACTATCTGTTCTTTTACGCTTCATCCATCACTTCATTCAATCATCATCATTTGTAAGCTTTATGAAAAACTGTCAAGTTTTTAATGTACAAGATATATTTATTGCAGGTGATCTAGATGCTCTTCAGGGTACACTATAAATAAAAATGTACATTGAAACATAAATACAACACTTACTAAACTGTCAAAGAGAAGGTTTTGTAAAATAACGTATAAAAATTATGTATATATATATATATATATATATATATATATATATATATATATATATATATATATATATATATATATATATATATGTAATATCCATAACTTATTTAATAATAACAAATTAATATAGAACATATTATACTCACAAGAGATATTTGCATTGTTAATTTTGAACTAAAAAATTTTTGTATTTAATTAAATGCTAGACTTTTAAAAACTTTGAAATTCACTGTGCAACCAGCGTAAAGAGATAAAAACTTGGATTGCAAAAAAATATCACATGCAGAAATATTTTTACTTGTAAAAATATGCCTAGGAGAAAAATCATCAGCCAAAAGTTTGCTAAGATTGAAAGTAACCATATTAAAACAATTTTCAAACCACGCTTAAAAATCTTCAAACTTAGTAGTTTTAACTCTGAAGTTAAGACTAAGAACCGATGTACCATCCGCAATCCAGTATTGTTTTTCATACTTGGCAAAAACTGTAATTTAACCGGTTTTTAATAAAATTCACATTTAAATTGATTTTATAACATGTTACTACAGAGGTAGCCAGTAAATTCTTTCCATTGTTTCAGAAAATTTATATAAAATAAAAAACTGGCTACCTCTGTAGTTACATGGTCAAATCAATCAGATTTTAAGGACACACAAAAGCAATGAACCACACATTTTTTTTCTTTTCTTTGTTTTTAATTTACTAAATGTATTATTTATTAAATAATATGCAAAAATAGTTAAGAAAGTTAAAAATTATCATATGTAATAAAATGATTTAGTGAAACCTTTTTTTTTTTTTACCCATGAAAATCCCCCACTTAAAAAAACAAATTTTTCTAAACTTTTTTTTTTTAAACTTTTATTTGTTTAAATTTTTGTATTTTTATATTCAATTTTGAGACAAATAAAACTTTTTTTTTCATTTAGACTTGACTGTCTAGATTAATCTGGTGCATATATTTTCAATTGAAAAATATTTACAAAATCTTTCAAAACTTTTTCTTTTACTTGTTATTTAAAATATTGAAAGGTCTTTATATTTAACCATGATAATGACCTGTAATCTTTTACAATTGATTATAATGATGATGATGACGATGATGATGATGATGATGATAATGATGATGATGATGATGATGATGATAATGATGATGATGATGATGATGATGATGATGATGATGATGATGATGATGATGATGATGATGATCATGATGATGATGATGATGATGATGATGATGATGATGATGATCATGATGATGATGATGATGAATTATTTATATTTAGATACATCAGAGGTGTGCACAGCACTGAAAAAATATTATCGTGAAAATTATAGAAAAATAAATGAAATTCAACCACCATTAAAAGTACCTGCTAGTATTGATCTAATGAATAACTTTGTTGATCTATGTATCGTTGATGCAGTTAATACTCAAATGGATGCTGTTTTTAATTTTGAGCGAAAAAAATTTCTTGAAAAGCAAATGAACTATACACCTATTTCATATAGTGAAATTTTTATGAAAGAAAAATCTGTAATATTAATATCTGGAATAGCTGGTATAGGAAAAACATGGTTGCTTCGAAAATGTTTGCTTGATTAGTCAAACAGTTTAATTTGGAAAAATGTTGAACTTGTGTTTTATTTGGAATGCAGAAATCTTAATCAATATCAAAATATTTCTAATATTAATGAATTACTAAATGTTTTCTACAAAGGTATTATAAATGATTATGATATTAGTACTCATTCTACGCTGTTTATAATTGATGGATTAGATGAGTTTAAATATTTACATGAACTAATAAATTGCAGTGCGAGTAGTAACTATCCAATTGTTAATGTTTTAACAGAAATTCAAAAATATAAATATGTAGTTGCTGGTAGAGTTTATGCAATTGATCAGTATCAAAGTATATCTACAGAGGATTGTGATAAGATAAACATTCAAATTATGGGATTTAATGAAGATGGAATAAATAATTATATAGAAAATAATGTTTTAGAGGAAAGAAAAGATGTTGTGAAAGCAAATTTGAAGGAATCTGCGATTGCAAAATCAATGTCATCTGTTCCATTTTATTTATCTTTCATGTGTAAGATTATGAGTATTTCAAAAAATTTATACAAAAATTCTTTTTTAACAATGACAGACTTGTATGCAAATATTTTTTTACACTTTTTGCAAAAACACATTATCAAAAACAATGAATCGATTTCTCAATTCATGGAAAACAATTTTAATAAAAAATATGTTTTAAACATTTGTAAAATTGCGTATCAATTGTTTGTTGAAAATAAAGTAATTTTTTCCAAAGAAGACATTCAAACTTTCATCATTGACTTTGATAAAAATGAAAAAACTTTTTTTGGATTTATTGAAAGGATTGAAACAAGTCTAGGTGAATATATTTATCAATTTGCACATTTGACAATAATGGAGTTTTGTGCATCTATATATGCATATAATTGTTTAAGTAGTGAAGAGATTATGACCAATGAAAAGCTGAAGAGTTGTTTATCAATGATTTGTGGTTTAACCAATAAAAATCAAAATAGTTCCTTAAAGTTTCTTGTTGACCTGAATCCTTTAAAACAAACTTGTGAAGATTCTTTATTTTTGTTTTCTATTTTTGGTAAGTCTATAATACTTTATTGCATTATTGTTAATCATTTTAGATAAAATTTATTTATCAAAAGTGCAAGTTTATTAAAATCAAAAGTTTATAAACATTAAATTTTTTTAAAGCTGTTTTTATCATTCCTTCTTTAAAGGATAGACTCTATTCTTTTGTATTTAGTATGTTTGACAATATTATCTGAGATAATTATCTGAACAAAATTAAAAAAAAAAAAACAAGTAAACTTTGACAAGTAATTTCAGAAGAATAATGAGTTAAAATGAATAAAAGATTAATGGTTGTGATAAATTAATCATGTTTTTTTTTTTTAAAATAAATGCAAATTTAAATAAGAATTCATAACTTAAAAATTAAAATATTTCACAACTTAAAAATTAAAATAGTTACATTTATGTGCTGAAAACTTAATGATGCATTCAAATTATGCATTTTTTTAACTTTAAATAAATGTCCAAACCAAATTTTAATTATTAAACATTTATTAAGTAAATAAATTTTTTTAATTTTTAATATCGAGTCAGACCATCTTTAGCGTTTAAGACTTCTACAAGTCAATTTTGCATTGGTTCAACTAATTTCTTTGTCATATCTGGATTGATTCAAGTCCAAGCTATTAGGAACACGATTATTTTCTCTTTGTTTGGTATTGAAATTGGTACTTTTTTGATCCAGAATTGCCCATTGGTGTTCAATTGCAATAAAATCTGGACTTTGAGTCGGCTAATCAAGGATAAAAAACACTTTTACTTTCTTTAACGTATGCTTAGTGTTGTTGTCTTGTCTATGCAAATTCAAACATTTTTTACTTTTTTATCAGATTACTGATGGTTCCTTATGCTGTTTCAGTTGCTTTTTTTCATCAACCTAAATGTTTTACCTTGTCATTTAAAACAGTGATTAAATTTGCTTTCAGAACATAACATTTATCAAAATTATTTTTTTATCTTCTGAGAAATTAAAGTTTATCTTCATAATAAAATTTTCTGTTAGGATATTTGTTTCTTTTAAATATTGGGTCAAGTAAAACGGACACTTTTTATGTCTTAAATTAAAAAATATTGGAACAAGCTACAAAGTTGTTTTTTTTTTTTAATTGAATGCTTATTAAGTCTAGAACAAAAATACATAAATAGAAAAAAATATTTCAGTACAATAATTTTTTAACTTTTTATAATCGATTCGAGAGGCTAATTAGGAAATTTTAATTAAGCATGCAAAATTCTCACGCACTTGTTGCTGTTTTGTTGCCATTTTAAATAGTAATATAAAAAAATATAAAAATATTTTCTTAGTATGGAGTATAAAGGAAAGCATGAATGATGCGTTTTCATATTTCATGAATAAAACATTGCTTTTCATCATAACATGGAACAGTTTTAAGTTAATTAACTTATTATTTCTAATTATTGTTTAATTAAACACATTTAATTTATATAATAAAAGTGTATTATACATATTGTTTTTATTTATGTTATAGCATTTTTTTATTATAAATTTATATCTTTGAACATAATTTTCTTCAAAAATTTAATTTAGTTTTATAAACAATGTTGACTTTAAACAAAAATTGTGTCTTTAAAAATCAATAAATTTTATGTTTTAGGCAAATGTCTCAACTGGTTTTTCATAAATCGTACAGTTTTTTCTGCAAATATTGCTTCTCGCTTAAATGCTTTTTTAGGGTAGTTATGCTAAATGTGCTGTCTGCAAACTTGAAGAAGCTAATGATCTTGTTATCATCTCTGTAGCACTTAACATGGTTGGCAATGTCATATGACAAATCATTGATTTGAAATATTTAGAGTTGTGTAGTAGAGTGCCAAGCCTTGTGGTACTCCAAATAACTTGCTAGTCAGATTAAAAAAGTGACATGATTTGACTTGCTTCTAAGCCTAATGGCTACGATCAAGTGAAGTATCTGCTTTTATTTGAGTTCTTACATCATTTTGATTGGTTATGATCTGCTGTAACATGGTATTTAGACTTCATTTCAATTAGTCACATCTAAAGACTGTGAAAAAATGACTTCATTGAGCCTAAACTTTGATTTTATGACATGATTTAACAAAAGAAAATTTGTATTTAGTGAGAAAATACAAAAAAAGTTTAATTTTTTCATTTATATTGTCTGATAATAAACAACAATTACATATTAAGTAGATAAATACAGTAAACAATCATTTGAAATAAGCTTCAGAAATAAATAGTTTACTAGATTTGGAAGTTTATTTTTTGATTTGTTGTCTATGAATTATCAACACTGTTTTTATAAAATTTAATAATAAACCACTAAAGTAATAGTGACTAGCATTGTTATTTATAATTTTTTAAAGTAAACAAGAATAATGTAACAACATGCATATGATTGTATATAAATGCGTTAAATGTGGTGATAAGATACATAAAAAAAAACAGGATAAAGAAAATTATTTATAAAGGATTTTATTTTTTGTTCATAAATACTAAAAATGGCAATCCTTTATATAGAGTGCTGTATATAGAATCTGTATATAGAATTTGTATAATCTCTTTTTTTATTTATTTTAATTTTTTCATTTCTTTTATTATTCTATTTAATTATTATTATTATTTTTTTTTTTTTGATAATATTAGTAACCAAGCACAGAATCAAATGGTATATAGCCTCATGTTGAAATCCAGCCAAAATTAGATTATAGGCCCATATCAAACTCTTTTTATTATATAAATTGCGTTTTTGAAACCCTTTTAGACAAAGTTATGAAGTAGTCTATCCCATAATTTTTTTTATTTGCAATTGGTCGCATCACAGAGCACCACAGAAGAGCATTTAACTTAAAAGTTTGCAAACCACAGATCAGTGAAGGATCTAACATTTTTTGGTGTTTGAGATAATGCTGAGAGATCTCTCAGATTCATAAAAGTTTAAAATTTAAATTAACATATAAAGTTTAAAAAAAATATTTAAAGCAGCCGTGGCGCAGTGGTAGCGCACTTGCCTCAGAAACATAAGATCCGTGGTTCAAACCCCACCTCTGGGCAAGTTTTGCGACATCGGTAGGGAAGGAGGCGTGAACTTTCCATTAAATGCTCTTCCGCCGTGCTCTGTGATAAGACCGTAAGGACTTCTTGGAACACCTTAATCAAATAAAAAAATAATAATTTCCTCCAATTTGAGGGGGTTACAAATTTTATATGGTTATAATTTTTGAACGCTTCAAAATTGTAAAACAATACTTAAAATTTTTCGATGAATATAAATTTAGTTATGAATAGCAAAAAAATTATTTCATCAAGTTGTTGCTCTCACATTTGAGGCAGGAGGGATAAAGTTTTAGAGCTTATTTGCTCCCGGCCTCCAATCATTGCCACTTTTTAAAAAGCATCATGATTTGACATGAGTATAAACATACGAATGCTTGGATTTTGTTTTATGTTGATGTTCAATCTGGAACACCAAATTCATATTAATGAAATATGTAAAATATAGTTTTTAAATGTACTTTTAAGGTTCAGAGTCTGCAGTTAGGAATCAAATCAAAATTCAAATTATTAAAATATCCTACCCTGCAATTTTTTTATAAAGACAAGAAATTTATTTCTTGTAATTTACAATTCAACACCTAGTGGCTGATCTTTATCATCAAAAACTGCTTTCAGAAGGATTTCAGTTTTGATTTTAAAACGAAAAAAAAGAACAAAAAGAAGAACAATTAAAATCAAATCAATCATCTTTAGAAAAATATCTATTAAAAACTCATCATAAGAAAGTCCAATAACTCAAGATCTGTTTGATTCTGGAAATGTAAGCAAATCAACTGAATCTACTAAAACAAATAAAACTATTCAAACAATTGAAAGATTGACTGAAACTGCTGCTAAGTTTTTTGTTTTTGTTGTAAACTTATTTGTTCAAATCCTATTATGTTGACTCAAAATGGTGGTAATGAATGGCGCTATATTTTACAAATTCTAAAAAGATATTAAAAAAGTCTTGATCATTTTGACTGCTACAACAAGTGGTTGGATCTGAAAAAGAGATTCCAAAAAGCAACTTTAATTGAATAAATTTTTGATAAAAACTAAATTAAAGATATAGATCATTTAGACGTTGTAATGAGAAGATTAATTTCCTTAACTATTATGATGGCAAAGTGAAATCTGCTACTCAGAGGCTCTTGTGAAAAAGTCTATCAAGATTATAAAAGGAAGTTTCTAAAAATTTTAAAACTTTTGGCTGAATTTGATCTAGTTATGGAAAAACATCTGTTGAGAGAAAAAAAAACAAATTCTGTGCACCATCTAACAAAAGATATTCAAAATGAAATCATTGACTTGATTAGCAAATCCATTAAATTTTAAACTTGCTCAAATCTTTGTGTATTTTTCAATTATTGTTAATTGTACGCCAGACATCAGTCACCAGGCGCAAATGTCAATGCTGGTTCGATATGTTGATGCAGAGGATAAGAACAAAATTCATATTAATGAAAGTTTTCTTGGATATTACTTAGTTGAAGGTTCGACAGGACTTGAAAAATCAAATGAGATTATTGACTCTTGCAAAAAATAATTTGTCAGTGGAAAACATAAGAGGTCAGAGCAGACAATCATGCAAATATGAAAGGCATAAAAAATGGTGTTTTATTCAACAGGCTTTTATTCTTCAAAAAAACAGCCAAACGGTTTATATTCTATGTCACACATTAAATCTGGTAGTTGTTGATTCTGTGAGATGTTCACCTGAAGTTGTTATGTTTTTTTTGTATAATTGATCAAGTTTACAATTTTTTCTTCTGCTTCAACAAAAAGATTTTGCAATCAAAGTTTCCATCTTTAACAGTTAAATAGTTAAGTGATACAAAATGGGAAAGAAAAAACTCTACGATTTGAAATGCCAAAAATTTTGAAATTTGCAAAATTGCAAAAATTACAGCAGAGTCTATTGCTTTAAAATTAACATGCTCCAATTTTTTGTCTTCGATCATAATTTGGCATTAAGTTTTATTCAAAAT